TTCAAACAGAAGAAGGGGTTTAAAATCAGAAATGGTGTGTGTCAAGGTTGTATCCTTTCCCCATACTTATTCAATCTGTATGCTGAGCAAATAATCCAAGAATCTCAAATATATGAAAAAGAACATGTCATCAGAATTAGAGGAAGACACATTAAGGAACTGTGATATGCAGATGACACAGCCTTTCTTGCTAAAAGGGAAGAGGACGTGAAGAACTTACTGATAAAGATCAGACTTCAGTATCAATTACATCTCAACATAAAGAAAACAAAAATCCTCACAACTGGACCAATAAACAGCATCATGATAAATGGAGAAAAGATTGAAATTATCAGGGGTTTCATTTAACTTGGATCCACAATATCACCCATGGAAGCAGCAGTCAAGAAATTAAGCAATATATTGCACTGGGCAAATCTGCTGCAAAAAAACTTCTTTAAAGTGTTAAAGAAGAAAAATGTCACTTGTTAGATTAAGGTGCACCTGACCCAAGTCATGGTATTTTCAATAACCTTACATGCATGTGAAAGCTGGACAATGAATAAGGAAGACAGCAGAAAAGCTGATGCATTTGAGTTACAGTGTTGGCAAAGAATACCAAAAAATACAATAGACTGCCAGAAGAATGAATGAATGTGTCTTGGAGGAGGTACAGCCTAATGCTCCTTGGAAGTGAGAATATTCATGTTGTCAGAAAGGACCAGTCCCTGGGGACAGATATCATACTTAGTAAAGTGGAGGGTTCAGTGAAAAAGGGGAAGGCCCTCAACAAGATAGATTGACACAGTGGCTGAAATGATGGACTTAAATATAGCAAAGATCGTTAAGATGGTGTAGGACCGGGCAGTGTTTCATTCTTTTGTACATAAGGTCGCCATGAGTTGGAACTGACTTTATAGCATGTAACAACAACAACATGTATATTTATACATTTGGCATTTACATGTAGAAACATGTAATTATTCCATGAGCATTAATTTCTTTCTCCAACTCCATTATAAGTACAGTAAGTGAAAATCTTTTGTATAGTATGTCTTTTGAATGTTTCACAATTTGGTTGGCCATTTGTCATATTGTACTATAAACCTCATTTTCCACCCCCAGAATCATATATGAATTAAGATCTTCCAATATACCTAAAGAGGAAGAAATGAAATTGTGTTTCAGTTTCAAAGATAATGATGGAGACATCTATGTACTGTTGAGACTGAGAAGAGAGCAAGATGATGGGTGATTCCTGAAAGGAGTGACAGTGTCCATTGAATAGGAGAAAGGAAGCTCTTGAATGAGGTCCCAGCCTGTAGAGTACTATGAAGACACTTGGAGGGTTTAGAAAAAATTTGGGTTCTGGAAGATTAGAAATAAATTTGAACAGAGAGATATGTCAAATGCTTTTAAGTGAAGTTATAGGAATTAAAAAGCATAAGGAGTTGTTAGAGTAGAGTCATCCAAAGGATCTGAGTTGGGTTTAAATGGAACAGAGAAGATCAACTTTTATTCCAAAATAATAACTAGACAGAAATAACTTTACAAGTTAAGAAAGGTGACTGAATTATTTCTGGCCTTGTTCCAAGCTTTTGAAGAAGAAGAAAAAAAAAACTGTAAGTATGAAAAATAATTTATATTACTTGAAATTTATGTACTTTATATTAAAGATAGATGATTTTGTATCTCTATAGAATTTCTGTCAAAAGGCTAGATTGAGAAATTACCATGGATAATAGTATTGAGTTAACAAACCCTGCTGGTGTTTTATCTAAATGATCACAATTACCACCTAACCACCTTTAAACATTTCTAAGATAGAAATCAGGGAGGAGAAACATTTCTAAGATAGAATCAGAGAGTTGTCAGCCAGAGGAATGACTGTTCTTTCTTATTTCCAGAAAGAAAGCTAAGAGATGTGTAGTTACCAAATTAATTTAATTTTCAATTCACCAAAATTCTTGAGAGTAGAGATCTTTCTTAAACCTAAGTATGAAAGTTATCTCAATATGACAACCACAAAACTATATAGGTTTAACAGATGATATTCCTATATATATATATATATACTTCCGTAGTGATAACTGCCTCGGAAACCCAAGGAGGGGTCGCTATGAGTCAGGGCCGACTCGACGGCACATAACAACAACAACATATATATATATTTACATATGCTACAAACATATCTATGAGTATAGTATAGCATACAAGAGTGAAATTATGAAACTTTCTTAGCCATAACCAAACACCTTGAAAGAATGAGCTACTAGGCCAGGGGCTCAGGACCATGGTCTCAGTGAACATTAAGGTCAATAGGTACAACATAGTCCTGAAAGAAAATGTTCTATGTTGTACTTTGGGGAGTAGTGACTGGGATCTTAAAAGTTTTAAGGAGCCATCTAAGATACAACAATTGGTCTCTCCCATCTGGAACAAAGAATACTGAGGAAAGGCAAAGACATATGGAAACAGTTAGCCCAAATGACTAATGGACCTCAGGAATCTCAGCCTCCATGGCCCTGAGACCAGAAGAACTAGATGGTACCTGGCTACCACTAACAATCACTCTGACAGGGACTACATTAGAAGGTCCTGCATAGAGTGTGAGAAAATTGTAGAACAAAAAATCATAAAACAGGACCAGGCTTACTGGTCTGATAAGGACTGGTGAAACCCCAAACCTATGGCTCTGAGTCACACACCAAGCCTGGAACTGAACACAGCCCCATGGCTCAACTTTCACCCAAACAATAGACAGGTTTATAAGGTTAACAATAACACCAGGGAGGTATGCATTCCTTAGAATAATCAACCATTTGAGATCATAAGGGCAGCATCTGTCTAAGGACAAACTGCAGAAGGGAAGAAGGAGTGGAAAAAAAGGACTAATAGAAAACAGGGAGGAAGTAGGATGAGTGCTATTAAATTGTGGGGATTGCAATCAATAGCATGAAATAAAATGTATATGAATTGTTGACAGAAAACAGATTCATTCTGTAAACCTTCACCCAAATCATAATAAAAAGTTTTGCAAAAAATGATATAGATAACAAACAAAAAAAAGAACATTATCTCAATATGAAAGTTGGTTTCTTGAAGCTCAGAAGGCTGTGAGAATTAACTTGGCACCAAAAGTGAAACAATGGGCAGGATTCTTTCTGCACCTATCAAGGAGTATATGAGTGGTATCTACATTACTGAGGTAAAGTGTCTAAAAAAAGACCCTCCTGACAAAAATGGAGATGAGTAACAATATAGCAGCAAAGACACTCAGCCTGGGGCCTACTTTTCCAAATTCCTATATGCGTTCTGATTAGACATAGAAAACACCAGAGTTAGAATAAATGAAATTGCAACAATCTAGTATAACCAACCTAAGAAGACCCCGGTCTGTGTCTCTATCTTAGGGTCCCCAAGCCTCTCTTTGCTGAAAAACCTTCAGTTTAACAGTTTAACAGTTAACTCCTAAGAGGTTTAAAATATTAAAGGTCATCAAGTTCATATAGATATTTTAACATAGGGCTTAAATGCTACACTCTGGGATTTGTCTTTGCTGCAACTTTCTATATTTGAGGGAGGAAGATTATCATCTGTCCTATATATCAATCCTAATAACAACACTCAATGTTAGTAGCTACCAGAATTGTCTCAGAAGTATGTACAAAATACTTCTTAGGTACTAAAATCAATTTGAGTGGCAGAAGTATTGGAGACAGTAATAAACAAACCAAAACTAACTGCAGAAATGTTCTATGTACCATACATTATCTGATGTTCATACATTTTTACAATGCTTTTTGGGAATGATGATGGAGACAGTTTCATTTACTTTGGACACATCATTAGAAGGACCAACCAACACTGGAGAAGGACATCATTCTAGGTAAAGTACTGGGTCAACAAAAAGAAGACCCTCAAGGAGATGGATGGACGCAGTGGCTGCAACAGTGTGTCATTGTAAGAATGGCACAGGACGGGGCAATGTTTCGTTCTGTAATAAATAAGGTCACTGTGAGTCTGAGCCAACTCAAAGGTACCCAACAACCACCATACTCTTGGTGTAAATAATGTTTTGGTTGTACTTGATACTCATAATATTTTCCTTCTGTTTTTTGCTAACTCTTCTCATAAATTTATCCCAGCAATTTAGTTAAGGAACCTCTGATCTTCATCTTCACAGAGTGAGAGAGGCAGAAAGTTAGATAAATAGTCTCTAAACTTATCAGGGAACCTTCCCTATTTGGAATAGTGAAGAATCTGTTCCAAATAAATATTTTACTCTTTTTTTGTTTGTTTGTTTTAGAGTTAAGAACACAGAGTTTGTGAAGTGTAAATAGACCATGTTCAAAGTTATAAACCAAACCGAACTCACTGCTGTGGAGTCAGATCTGACTCATAGCGAACCCTCCTTGGGTTTCTGAGGCAGTATCACTACAGAAGTAGATTGCCCAACCTTCCTTCTGAGGAGTGGCTGATGGGTTTGAACTCCCAGCCTTCTGGTTAGCAGTCAAGTGCCTTAGGCACTACACCACCAGAGCTCCTTTCAAAGTTATAGAAGGGACTTTATGAAGGGACTAAAGCTAAGCTTTGCTGCCTTTGGCTGTTTAGCATCATCTTTAAAATGTCCAGGACAGGCTGCTTCCTGTGAACTAAAAGGCTAGATCTAATTTTCCTATTTTGTAGATTAGAAAAGAGGCATAGAAGGATTCATAGACTTGCTGAGAATAACACAAAGCATAAAAAGGCATAACCAAACTTCTCCTTCCACCTCCAACAAGATAAAGGTTTAGAAAACTCATAAGGAGTATCATTTTATAACAAGGCATAATTCAGTCTCTATACCTTAAAGGTGTATCACCCATAGTCTTTGAAACAGAATGTTCTGCAGCTAAGAACTTGGAATTAGAGGCTTGTGGACCCCATGGGGACAGAACAAGGCAGAAAGTTGTTCCCTTACACATTTATATGTTCAGTTCCTCAAGCTGAAGAACACTGTCAAGTTTAAAGTGACTTACCCAAATCTGAAGCTTGATTCTCTTTTCATTTTTGAATACAGTTTTTACTTTGAAATCAATCCCAACTGTACTAACGAATGCAGATGTAAAGGAGTCATCTGCATAACGGAACAGGAAAGATGTTTTCCCCACGCTGCTATTGCCAATGATCAGCAATTTGAACATGTAGTCGAAGTTCTGATCAGAGGAGTCTTTCTGGCCATACCTGGCATCTTGGGCAGAGGCCATCTGTGGTAAAAACAAAAGAAGTGCGGATCAGTCTCCTATTTGACATGAAGCTAGCAGCACACTCATTATTGGCCTTGCCAGAAACAGATGTCAGACCACTCAGGAAGCAAGCTGAGTGTTCCCCAGTCTTCCTCTGATGCTGGTATCCATGGCAATAATTCCCTGCTGTAAGGGAGAACAGCACATATTACAGCTCTTTCCAGCTGTGTTGGTGTTTGTATCTGCTCAGTGTTCAGAGCCAATCAAAGACACCAAAGGAGACATCTATAAGGGCAGCATGAAAAGCAAAGATATGAAGAATTGGCAGGGGTGTGAATACTGAAACTTTGTCATCTCAGTGAAGGAGACACCAAAGTGGATGCACAGCAAGGTGTTTCTTCCTGGATTATCTGAATCATTAGAGTCATTTTATTTCCTACAGAAGTACACCCAAAGCATGTCTTTATTTCACCTATTAACATCACATCCAATCAGCATCTTAACATAAACAGCAGTCTTTGCCAGATCAGTAACAATGATATTGGCAAACATATATGGTTCAAACAATGTGCCAGGCTCAGATAATTTACTTAACTAACACAACAAAACTATATGGTGGTGCCTTTATTAGTCACATATTAAAATAAGGAAAATGAGGCATAGAGATATTAAGTAACTTGCTTAAGTTCACACAGGTAATAAGTAGCAGATGCAGGATTCAAATCAGGCAGTGTGGTACAACGGTACATGTTCTTAACTCCCAAATTATATGCCTAATGATAACTAAGAAGATACCTATCTATCTACACACATACATATGTCTATATCTATATCTATATCTTCACTCTAAAAGATGGTATGGGAAATATTCATTGTGAAATGTATTAATGAAGAAATCTTTCTGGGTTTAAATCTTGTCTCCACCACTTACGGGCTGGGTGACCTTGGTTTTATTATTTTAAGCAGATGTACCTCAATATCCTCTCTTACATAAAATGGAAATGTGTGTGTGTGTGTGTGTCTGTAGGAATATCTTTATGTATATATATGTATATCTTAGATGACTTGTTAAAATAATAGATTATATATATATATAGTACCTAGCATATAATAGAAAATGGACTCTATTACTAATTATAAATGTTTGAATTGCTGTTAATTTTTTTTTTCTAATCCTCTTTGATGATCATCTTCATATCTATGAAAAAGAATGCTACATTACTTCTAAGTACTTTGGCTCAATATAGAAGAGAGTTATCAATGACAATTCCTATTGATTAAAGCACTTATATATCAACTTTTGGGAGCTCTGGTAGCATAGTGGCTACAGCATTTGACTGCTAACCAGAAGGCTGGCGGTTCAAATCCACCAGCCACTCCTCAGAAGGAAGATGGGGCAACCTACTTCTGTAGTGATACTGCCTCAGAAACCCAAGGAGGGGTCGCTATGAGTTGGGCCCGACTCGACGGCAAAACAACAACAACAACAACATATCAACTTTTGGGAACTCTGGTGGCATAGTATCTAAGGCATGTGACTGCTAACCAGAAGCCTGGCAGTTCAAACCCAGCAGTTACTCCTCGGAAGGAAGACTGGACAATCTACTTCCATAGAGATAGTGCCTCAGAAATCCAAGGAGTGGTCACTATGAGTCACAATGGACTTGATGACAGTGAGTTTTGTTTTGTTTTTATGTCAACTTTTAAGTTATGAATTCATTGGGTATTGTTGTACTATCCAGCATGGTAACCACTAGTCATATATGGCTATTTAAATTTGTATTTAAATTAATTAAAATAAAAAATTCAGCTCCTCAATTGACTAGCCACATTTCAAAAGCATAGTAGCCACAAGTGGCTAGTGGCTACTGTATCAGACAGCACAGATACACAACATTGTCATAATTGCAATAATTTATATTAGTCAGTGCTGTGCTACACAATCCTCACTTCATTTCTCATAAAAGCTGCTTAATAATTATACCTTTTTCTTGAGAAAGAGAAGGAAAAAGAGAAGCTCCAGCAGATTATGGAATGCTAGAAACAGTTAGCAGTACTCAGCCTCATCCAGGACATCAGTTTCTTGACATCAGGTGTGTAGGCATATGTGTGTACATGTGTTTGCAGACACTGAGGAATGGGGAAAAATGGAAGTGGTAAGATAACATATTTTCTTTCTACACATACTCATTGCCACCAAGATTATAATAACAAAACAGACAAAAAGAAAATTAATAAACTTAATAAAGATTCTTACTGCATTTCACATTTTCTAATTCAATGTAAGTTTATACATGTCTCTTTTTAAGTCCATGTAAACACATCTATGTATTTGGTAATTGTAACAACTTTTAACAAGTGTTTGCCACTGAGAAAAACTGAGCAACTGAAGCATGCAGATACCATTAATTTCCTTTGTGCTCAAGAGTCCATGCACTAGGAGGGCAGAATAGGCAGACAAGCTACAAAACCCTCTTCGACAAAGAAAATAAAAATAATTGACACAGATACAGAAGGTAATTCCGGAGCACTGAGCTTTGAAAGGAAGGACACAGAAGTGAATTAAACACCAACTAGTAGAAGAACCTGAATGAAAACAGTGAGTAAGGAAACAAACAGAGCTGCAAACTGTCAGCTATCCTAATGGCATCAACAGTCGGAATATTTACAAGTGGTGTTAGGACCTGAGAATTAAACTAAAAATCAGCCTTGATCACCAAGGGCTGCATGGACAACTGCTCTGGTGGCCAATGACTAAAAAAAGAAGCAGCAAAGATGGAAACAAACTGAGTCGTGGACTTTTGGCTGTCCAGAGGGAACAGCCATTTTGAACATTAACAAGTGGCAGCCATTTTGGATATTAAAAGTGACAGCATTCTCATTCAAATTCCAGGGACCTGAGAGTAGGCTCTGGTTGCCAAAGACAGAATAGACATATAGGAGGCTAAAGACTGGAAAGGAGACAGGTGCATAAGTGCATAAGTGCATAAGTGCTGCCAATTAGCAAATAGAGGAACAAAGTACCCTGCTTACTCAGATACATCCAAACAAAACAAAACAAAAAAATAATAAAATCTTGGGAGAATCACTTCAACATACAATCACCAATTAAATATAAACACAAAAATGTCACAATGTCTCAGAGACAACAGACCATCATAGTCCACACAAACAAGCAAGATAAAACAGTAGTAGCAAGGGACCAGACCCAGAACACACCTCTGAGAAAGAAGCAGCATTGGAAATCCTTCATAAGGAATTCAAAAGAATTAATTATATTTAGGTACCTTCAATGGTTTGGGAGCTCTAGTGTTGTAGTGCCTAAGGCATTTGACTGCTAACTAGAAGGCTGATGATTCACCCACTAGCTACTCCTCGGAAGGAAGACTGGGCAATCTACTTCTTTAGAGATACTGCCTTGAAAACCCAAAGAGAGATAGCTATGAGTCAGAAATGACTTGATATCAGTGAGTTACTTTTTTTTTTTTTTTGCTTTCAGTGGCTTGAGAGACAGATCGAGGAAAACACAGACAAAATTGAGGAAAACACAGAGAAAACCCTAGAACAATTCTGGAAGACAATATAAGAAAAAAAATGACAAAATAAGTGAAAAATTAGAAATGATACAAAATCTACAGATAAAAATCCAGAAAATTAACACTAAATTCTCAGAAATAGATAATATATTGAACAGGCAGAGGAGTAGAATTAAATCAATGAAAGACAGAATTAGTGAGACTGAAGACAAATACCTCAATACTTCTTTGGAAATGGATCAATCCAAAAAGAGAAGAAAGAAGATTAAAGGTCATGTGGAATATCATCAAAAGGAAAAACCTACATGTAATGGGAATTCCAGAACAGAGAGAGACAAACAAAAGCACAGAGAAAACTGTCAAAGATTTGTTGGAAGAGAATATCTCTGACATGATAAAAGACAAGAATATACCCATTCAAGAAGTCCAATGAACCCCAAACAGGATACACCCTGAAAGAAAATCACCAAGACATATCATCATCAAACTCACCAAAACCAAAGACAAAGAAAGAATCCTGAAAGCAGCATGGGAAAAACAAAAAGTTACCTACAAAGGGCAATCAATAAGACTAACCTCTGGTTTCTTGGCAGGGCAGAAACCATGCAGGCAAGAAGGCAATAGGATGGTATATAGAAAACCATGACAAAAAAAAAAAAAAAAAAAATTCCAAGAATTATATATACCTGGAAAATGTGTCCCTCAAATATGATGGTGAAATTAGGACATTTCCAGATAAGCAGAAAATAAGGAATTTGTTAAAATCAGACCTACCTTACAAGAGATGCTAAAGGGAGTCCTTTGGACAGAGAACCAACAACAGCAATCAACAATCAACCACTAACACCCATAATGACATAACCCAGAAACCAACCCAGTTATAGAAGTATCCAAAGTAAATAAGCCTACAAGATTGCAGACAGGAACCAGAGACATCAATTGGCAAATGCAGACAACTATGAACCAAAATGAGGGAAAAAGTTGTGTAGTTACAGAATTTCTAAATGGTGAAGAAGTCAAGACAATTGCAAGATAGAACAGACTGTTCTAAACATGGGAAGAAAATTATAAATAACAGGGTAAACTCAAAGAAAAATAATAAACAATAAAAAAGAGAACCAGCACAAACATTTAACAAATACTAAAACAATAGCAATGAAGGAAGTCATAACATGATTCATAAATAAAAGGAGTTCAGCATAGAAAATTGTATGGAACAAAGAAATCAGCAACACCACAAAAAGCACATAACAAAATGACAGCAACAAATTCATACTTGTCAATAATTACACTGAATGTCAATGGTTTAAATGGACCACTCAAGAGACGGAGATTTGCAGACTGGATAAGAAAACATAACCCATCAATATGTTTTCTATAAGAGACACACCTTAGAGACAAAGACACAAATAGATTAAAAATCAAAGGTTGGAAAAAGATATACCAAGCAAATGACAACCAAAAAAGAGCAGGAGTGATAATATT